GACACCTTCCACTAGACCAGGTTGCTCCAAGCCTTGTCCAGGTTTTCCTGGGAAGCTCCCAAGGAGAGACGATGACAGGTGAAGCCATCACTGGTTTTTGTGGCTATGGCAGGACCAAACTCCTCTCCTCCCCTGGGACACGTTAGGAGAGCTCCATCTCACCACCAGTAAGTGGTAGGAGGGTCTCAGGGACTCTGCAGGTCAGCAACAGCCATGCTGCTCTTAAAGAAGAGCTATCCAGTATTTCTGCTGCCCTGATTTGAGGGATCATGAGATGATGTGCCTTATTTGTATCCATGTAATTTTAATGTTAAAAGTTTGGAAGCGGCTGCTGTCAGCGCTCCTGGAAAAATGGGAAAATATGGGGCCCTGGAGAAAAAGTAGATGGGAAATTATAAATAAACTTGTGAGAAGATTGCAGTGTGAAAGGCATCATGTTGTTCTCTGATGGTCTGGGAACTGACTGAAACTTATTAAAGAAATTTCTGTGACTCATTCTTCAGGAGCTCTTCAAAATCAAGCTGTCCTTTGTTGCTGTTTTTGACTTAATATTACTTTTTATTCACTTCTTAGTGTCACGGCTTCCAGTGGGAATATTTTCCGTTAGAAAGCTGGCATTAATTGACTGTGGATATTCTTTAACTGTTACTAATGAGATACCCATTCACTAAAGCTTCCATGGAAATGACCATCATGCATCCAGCTAAAGGGAGAGTTCTGTGAAGTGACACCAGTATTATTTAGTCAAAATAGTTACTGACACTTCAGGAGCACACTGGAGTGTCAGTAATTATTTTGACTAAATAAACCACACTGTGTGAGGCACAATGCCCTGTAATAATAAAAACATTATTCCTGATAAAATGTTATTTGTCAGTCCCCTGACTGTTATCCATTATGTTTCTTTTCCAGTCAAAGTAGAGACATACAGCTCAAGCTCTGGGTCAGCTTTGCCCAGAAAAAATCAGGAAAAAAGAAAGAGAAAAAAGTCTCAATTGCTTTTTAGCTGGCTGCATGTTTCCTAAAAATCTTAAGGAAATCATTTTGATGCTGTGGTAATTGTCTTTATTTCCAATGACCTGGTAAAAGGGACCAGAGGAGATCATGAAGATGCTCCAACAGATGAAGCATCTCTGCTACAAAAGCAGGCTGAGAGGTGGAAAAGGATCCAGGGACACCTTAGAGCCCTTCCAGTGCCTAGAGGGGCTCCAGGAGAGCTCAAAAGGGGCTTTAGACAACAGCTCTGGACAAGGGCTTTCAAAACTGAAGTCACTGGCCTAACCCTGATCCCAACATCAGGTCGCTGGCAGCAAAGATCAAACCAAGCATTTTTTAACATCTAAGTCTCTTCCTGACTGCTCATTTTTAACCGGCCTCATCACCCATGAGCAACAATTCTGTTCACAGCTGATTACACGCCAGCCCTGAGCAGAATGAGAGTGGGTTTTGAAGAGATCAAGCAACAATTGATAGATCAAGACTGGGAATAAGCCCTCTTTTATCTAGAAAAACTGTAATGGAAATAATTGGGAAAATGCATTTTATTGCTTTCCCAGAGGAGACGATTAGGGAACCTGAAGGCAAAGGCTGCTCTATGGAATGAATGATTTGAATTTTAACTGAAAATGCTGAGGCTCAAATGAAAAACCGTTTTAGACAGCAGGAGAGAGTTTGCCCATTTTTTTAAACTCTTTTTATTACTTGTAGTAAATGTATTTGCATAATTTGTACATCCAAAGTATCGCAACTGGGACTAATTATCCACTGTGTTAGACAACACACAAACACACAACAGAGCCAACCTCTGATCTGGGAGCCACAATCCAGTGCTCAGTTTCAGCAAACAACACTTGATAAGCCAAAGTGTTCATTCTCTTTTCTCTTTTTGCCCCCATTTATTAAAAAGGGCTCTTAGCCAAACCCTCAGTGGCCCTTTCAGAAGGCAGAAGAACAAGGAAATACTGTGCCCTGGTTAGTGCTGAGGGCTGGGGTTTGCAAATCAAAGCCAAGTCTCCATGCTCTGGAGCAGACTTTATGTGTGACAAGAAGCAGTTCAGCTCCTCTGTGCCTCCAACAACTTATCTGTAAAAGGGCAGCAGGACTCTCCACCTTCTTAGGGCAGGCTGAGAGGGAAGGCATGAAGATTTGCAGAGGAATTCTCTGAAAAACTTAAGAGACTAATCTTTTGTCACCCTGGGACTAGATGGGCTGGTCATTGGGTGCAGTTTTCTTTCCTCATGGAAACAAAATCTAAAATTTAGCAGTAAAATTTATGGTTTCCAATACTAAAACTCAGTACTTGCAAGCTTGGATGTGTTTTTCCAGCCAACTTTGCTGTCCCTGATGATGTCCTTGTTTATAAATGCCTGCTCCTGCCTCGCCATCAGGTGCACAGTGCAACTCCATTGCCTTTAACCTCATAAAACCTGGGCTGCTGCTCAAATACAACTTGACATCATAAGCTGAACAATCAAGAGGAAAAGATCACCTTTAAAACTTGTGGAGTTCCAGCTTCTGGGGGGCTGCAGCATTCCATGTTCCAACAGCTTGTTGAGGTCAGGAATGAAAAATGAGCCAATGAGGATTTTTATCAAATGCATCACCAGTTCTCTGGCATGGATTCATCCTCTTCACTTACAGAGGGCAAAGCCTCACTGCAGGAGCATTTTCACCTCTGGCACGGATTCGTCCTCTTCACTTACAGAGGGCAAAGCCTCACTGCAGGAGCATTTTCACCCCTTATGTGGCCAAGCATTTTCTGCTTCTTATTTGGGGATACCAATTTCATATCCCGGTTCTAAACACACCTCCAGCATTGTAAAACGTGTTCTGTATTTCAGAACAGGCTCCCCATGGAATGGTCATGGCCCCAAAGCTGCCACAGCTCCAGGAGGGTTTGGACACTGCTCTCAGGCACAGGGTGGGATTCAAGAGTCCTATTCAATAATCCTATTCAACAGCTCGTGAATGTAATAAATTGAATTTCTAGTCTGGTTGAAAATACCTACTGGAAAAGGAAAGGTTACTCTTTGTGAGGTGCCCCACCCGTTAGGTGTTTTAAGGAGGAGAGAAGCCATGGGATGTGCAGCATCACTGCAAGAGTCACCTCTGCTGCAAGTTATAGGGAGGGAATTGCCCCCCAAATTAAGAGTGCCTTAATCACGTGTATCTGAGCTTCTGCTGGCTCCCAGGCTCAGCAGGAACTGGGGCTCTGAGTTCTGAGGGAAGGCTGACTCCTCACGGGGCCATGTGCGGGGCACACCAGGAGCCTGCTGTGACAAGCCTCTCCTCTTCCTCAGCCAGGAGATGATCACAGGGAGACATCACCCAGCTCTGCCCACACACAGGCACTGACACGTGGGGGTGCTGCCTGGGTGCTTTGGGCAGGTTTTAGAAGAAGCCAAACAGACTGGACTCCAAGACACTACAGCACCAGAGCACTCAGATAATGCACAGGAATGGGTGATAAACTGGGGGTGAGGGTAAAAGTGCATTTATTATTAATTGAAAAAAGAAAAGAACTGGGTTTTTTTCTTATAGAGAAGTTTCCATAACATTAACAAAAAGAACTTCTCTCCCTAAGTAAACTAAAAAAAATATTCTGAAAGCAGTAAACTAACTAAAATTTTAAGTTTTATTTCTTTACATTATCAGTAAGAAAAGAAAGTTATCAAGAAAAGTGTTCTATAAGTTTTGTTATAATTTTTATTGCTCTTAGTTACTGTAATTAAAATTTTCTTTATGTGTTTTAAAGTTTTAAATCTACTTTACCTTTCTCCTAATCTTACCTCACAAGTAAATACACTACTAATTAACCAACACTAAACCCACCACACTTATTAGCACATTAACCAAAAATTCTCAAAATTATCTGAAAACTCCTTCCCGAAGAAACAAAACTCAGCAGAAAATCCCTGGGGAAAAGCTTGTGTCCCCAGAGACAACAATACAGGCAATGAAAAAAATTATCACTTTTTAGTTATTCTCTCAATATCCCTCACTTCTGCTCCATGACAGAGGCTTTCCTTACAGATTTGAGTCCTTCCAAGCTTTGTTAACTCTGTTTCCTTGCCTGGCAATACACCACCTGTGTTATATACAGTGCCTCTTGCTTTCTGCAAAGGGATTCATAAAGGAAAACCAACAATCTTTAAATTGCAATTAATTTATCACTAGACATACTATCTTCAGATTGCTTCACCAGTGCCTCAGTAGCATTCGCAGCCCATCTTCAGTGAGGGCAAAGCTGACAAGAGCACATTAATCTCTTTTTTTGCCCTGTAGCTCTGTAAATACCAACTACTCCCAGGCAGCTGGTGAGAAAGGAGTAGCTGTGTTGAGTCAGAACCTGCAAGCCCAGACATTCAGCTGGAATGTTACAAATGTGTGACATTACTGAGGATAGGGTGGAATCCAGCTGGTTTCCTGGGACTGGGGCTGTTGGGATAGCCCAGACTGGCTCTTTGGGAAGCAGGATGCAGAGAGAATTTGGCCAAGGCAGCTGCAGCACAGAAACCTCTCAACGAGTCTGTGAGATCCAAGTAGACCAGTGTTTAGAACTAGGTAGCACCGAGTTTCACTGTTCATCTGGTCATTTCTTAAAACACATTTACAACGTCCCTACTCTAGATGATGTGTTTTTATCTAAGGCTCCCTCCAGGAAAGGAAACCAAGACACATGAAATCTGGGAAATGGTAACAGAGGGTGCAGTCACAATGCATCCTAGGCCTGAGCAGATGCTGGACTGAGTAATCTGTATATAAAGAAAAAAGATCATTTTGAGGGAAGATGTGAATGAAGGCAAAATGGTTTACAAGCAGTAGAAATAAATAATCCTTGCGAAAGTTAATCCCATCCCCTCCAAAGAAGCCACTACTGCAACATCACCACACGGGATGGGTGTGGCATCACCATCAGCCATCACCACACATCAGTGCTGGCCATGTCACAATGGGCCCAGTGACATCACCACCCGGCCTAAGCCATCAAATGCGGCTGCATGTCACCACCACCCTCAGAGTTGACGAGAGGATTGTGGAAAGGAGCCACCCCGAGGCTGATCAGGCACCAGGGTAACTCAGAGATTCTGCTACCTCTGACACAGCTCACACACATCTCTCTCTTCACTCAGGCTTGCTGCACAAATGGCAGGAGAAATGCCAGCAGCATGGAGAACAAGACGCCACGGCCACTCCCCATCAACCCGTTCTGGATCCAACAGGGCACAGCCACAAACTGTCCCCATCGATAAAGGTGACACCAGAAGCCTCCCTCCCCACAGCTACCCGCCACTGGCACAAGGGGCTCCAGGGTAGCCAGTGAGGAGCCAAGAGCCATGCCAGGCCAAGGCAGCAGCTCCCCATCTGGGCTGGGCTCTGGGCACTTGCAGGGGCTGCTGGGGCATCCATGCCTGACCTGCTCAGCCCTTCAGCCAGCACGGCACAGAGCCAGCAGGGCCCAAAGGCTGATCCTGGACGGACACTTGCCCAGCCCCACTGACGTGCTCTGTCTCTCCAGCATGCATGCTGTGCCACCAGACCCAGGCAGACACCGACATCTGCGGGGACAAGAGACTGAAGTACAAGCTCTGTGTCCACACCTACTGCCAGGTGAATTCTCTCACGGCTCCCTCCAGCTTTCTGCCCACAACGGCCCTGGGCCCTGCCTTCCTGACCTGACAACCTCCCGGCCTTCCTTGCCTTGCAGGTCCTCGCCACTGGGCTTTACCCACAAGACGACACCGGACGCTTTCTCGTGGAGGACACCAGGCGTATCATCAGAGAAGCAGCCAAGAAGGTAGGGACAACCTGGCAGGAGCAGGCAGCTTTGCACCAGGAGAGGCTTGGCCAGCTCCTCCTGCTCCCCAGCAAAGAAGCCCCAGGCCTGGAGCATGCAGGAGCCTTGGGAGCAAACGGCTCTGGGGGCTCTGAGCTGGCTCTGCCCACATTCTACTCCCTGTCTGGAGACGCACACCGGCCACAAATCTCCAGACCTGACACTCATGGGGCTGCTGTGCTCTTTCCAGAGCTGCTTCATCTGCTGCAAGATGGGGGCTGCCATCACCTGCTGTGAGACGGGCTGTGACCGCACCTTCCACCTGCCCTGTGCCCCTGATGGCCAATGTGTCAGCCACTACTTCGGGACCTACAAGTAAGGGCTGCCCACCCTCACCTCAGAGCCCCCGCCTTCCTCTCCAAGCCCTTTCCACCCCACAGGGCATTCAAGGGAGCAGCCCACGGTTGCCAGAAACCTGCCACACACGGGCAGACCCCACACAGCGGCTGGGGTTCCCTCAAAGCTCCTGCACGCACATCGCCAGCACAGCCAAAGGACTCTGCACTTCCCCTTCCCTCGCCCATCTCCTCCATCTTCCTTACAGGTCCTTCTGCTGGGAGCACCGCCCACAGCAGGCACTGCGGCCACGTCCAAGCCAGGACAACACCTGCAGTATCTGCCTGGACCCTGTGGAAGACAACATCTCCTACAAAACCATGGGGTGCCCCGCCTGCCAAGACGCCCGCTTCCACCGGCACTGCATCCAGAGACTGGCTCTGCATGCTGGCACTGGCTTCCGATGCCCGCGTTGCCTGAAACAAGAGCCGTTCATGACGGAAATGCTCATCATGGGGATCCGACTCTCTAAGAGGTTGTGCTTTTCTCCTCCCAGCTCACAAGGCGGCAGGCACAAGCACAGTGCCAGCCTAGGGAATACCCCGGCAGGCCTGGCCGCCTTCTGGCCCATGCCTCTTGTCTTCAGCTCCATTGAGGACCTGGAAATGGGACAAAAAGAGGAGCAGCGACTGCCAGGATCTGCCTGATGTGGGCTCAACTCTTTCCCTCCCTTCTCTGGCAGACCCCCATCATGGCAGGATGACCAAGAGGTCGGACCCTCAGATCAGAGGCACAGCCGCTGCAATGCCGCAACGTGCCTTTGTCCAGGAGGCAGGGAGCACGCGGAGGCAGACGGGTAAGCTGCCGAAGCCGCAATGTAGAGACCTGAAGGGGATCTGTCTCCCTGAAGGCTCAGGGATGCAGAACTAATAACAAGGGCTCTGCCATGGGCATGACCGTCCCCCTGCTCTGACACTGTCCTCACAACCTCCTCGTTCCTCCAGACCTTGGCAACTGCAGCTGTGCAGCTCCTGCGCTGCCGAGGGCACCCACCGACTCTGCTCCTCTTTGGGGAACACCACCTGCTCCTGGGAGTGCAGCACCTGTGCTGCCGCGGGCACTGGTAGGCACCAAAGCATTCAGCACCACGCAATGCAGACAGGGACCAGGACGGGCCTGGCAGCAGGGCCTTTGGCACACCGCCCGGCTCCAGGAGAACGCCGGATACCACAGTGGCTGCTCCTGCCTGCAGCCTGTCCTGACGACCTTCCTGCTGCCCCTCTTTACAGCTTCCACTGCCAAATCAGAGCCTGTGGGCCCCGAAACTTCCAGACAGGAACTGTTGACACTGTCCCAGGACACAATGCTCCTCAAGAGCAGCTGCTCCATCACCCCTCGGCAGGCCTTAAAGCAGCGCTACACTGAGGAGGAAATACAGTCACAGACAGCGTACAGCCCTCCTGCAAAGCGCTCCAGGATCCAGGATGGGCCAGCCCACAGTGCTGACACCTGCCAACCCAGCACTTCCAGCCAGGCAGCATCACAGCTGTCCCGGGTAAAGAGTCCTGCCAAGACCGGCACCTCTTCCTCTTGCCCTCGCCAGGCCTTCAAACGGGCCTACCCAGAGGAAGACAATGACTCGGCGACATCGTACAGCCCACCCGCCAAACGCCGCAGGATTGACACCAGGCCGGCCCAGAGTGCCAATGAAAGCAGCCCTAGCACTTCCAGACAGGCGGTGCCGGCGCCATCTGAAGGCACTCTGGCTGCCAACACTCAAGTAGGACAGCCACGGCGTCCATACAGGCCTCCATGGATCTTCCATGGATCCACAACGGACAACCGCTCCCAGCCTGGGCCAATTCGCATGAGACACGTCAGGCGGCAACAACGGCAGGCAAAAAAGCCCTACAGCCGGCCATGAACACACAGCAGCACAAACTGCCAGCCCGCCCATGGCCCCCATCACTCTGACTCGCCAAAGGCAGATAAACAGATACATAAATAGGGAGAGTCAGAGACATTATATACATATATACACATATAGATGGACAGATAGATAGATATAGATCTATGCTGATAGATAGAGATAAATGGACAAGAAATAAAGATTTTTACACAATAGATAGAGATAAATGGACAAGAAATAAAGATTTTTGCACTAAGAGAACCCATGTGTCTTTTCCAGCAATTTTATTCAGACTTCGTCCAAGCTTCTCTTAGTGTAATGAACACAGATCTACGCGTCCCTTGTGCTTGGCAGCACATTTCCGGTGTGCAGCTGCCCTTCCCACCTGTCCAACACCATGGCTGTGCCATTCAGGCCTTGCTGGCCCTGAGAAGCCACTGTCAGTGGCCCTGCAGGGCTGCGCTCAGCTCCTGAGCCATGTTCACAACCCTGAGCCCACCTGCACCCTCAGCCTCTGCCTTGCCAGCCAGCCTTGGCCAGGCTTGTACCCCTTCCTCGGGGTAGCACCACTTCAAAATCCATCAAAGGCACCAGCAGCAGCTGCCCTTGACTGGAAAATGCACTGGGACTGCCCCTGGCTGGTGGTGATGGAACTGCTTTCCTCAGCACTCACGGCTGACACATTGTTGTATTCCATTTTATTTAAATTCATCGATCCTGTGGCACTTTGACAGCAGCCTGCAGGATGTCCAGGCTCCTTTATGGAAACTTGCTGCAATGCAAGTCAGCAGCTCCCGCAGAGCACTCCATTCCACACCGCAGGATTGAGGGATGGACACTGCTCTGCTTCTACTGCCCACAGCACTGCTGCTACAGGTCACTGACATCGGCCTTCTCGGCCATCTGGGCACATGTTCACTCATGCATCCTCACACTGGGAAAGCTCTGGCTACTGCTCTCAGACCTAAGCCCTGAAAACAAGATCCCCACAAAGACCCAACACTGGTGGTGGAAACATTTCCACATCTAGCATGTTTAACCTTAACAAAGAGTGAAGGGGCATGTACTACACCTCCAGAAGAGAATGAAGAGTACTCTGAGGCCTGGGCGATTAGAGCAAGGAAACAAGGCATGGAAAGAATGAAGTGGGACATGATAACCCAGATATTTTTAGGCAAAGAAGTGCCTTTTTTTTTTTATGCTCTCCAAGTTTTGGAGGGAGCACTAACCTGAAAGTGAGGCTAGAACGAGCTCTGTGACCTGGTGCGACTGCGAGCACCTTCTCTTTTTTGCGAAGCTCCTCCATCACACTGTGCAGTCTCAGTGAGCTGCGCTTCCTTTTACTGAGCTATTCCAGATTTTCATGTTCTCATTACTCATTGTTTACATAAATATTGATCACACCCCAGATTTCTCTGAAACTGCAATAACACATTCTCCAAAGGCCCAAATTTTAGTTCTGCTGAAACAAAGGAGACCTTCAGGAGTCTCTCAGGAAGCAGGCAAGGCAGGCACCAGTACTTCTGTAACAGTACTGGATTTCACCCCAGGCCTTGTTTTCCTTATGTTCAGTAATTTTACCTTCATTTCTGGCTTGAGAGCTCATCTGCTCCAGGCACACCAGGGCATGGTATGGTTGCATGTACTGAGCTGGCCCAACTAAATGACACAAGGAATGCTGTGCTACACGGGTAAGAAGACACCCAGACACCACCATGGTTGTTAGCCGTTTTTTTTTTGTTTTAATTTTCTTGCTATTGGTTTAGCATGTGACCACCCATCAGTCTTTGAAAAACAACATAGACAATAACTAGGTTGAACTAAAACTTTCCTTTTCAAATCCATGTTGTGTCAACTACAAAGTGGTGACTACTTTCAGCTCAGAAAAAGCCACCCCCATCCACATCTGAGCACCCTGTGATCCCTGGCCTCCCACTCCCCACAAGGAGCCTGAAAGCACAAGGGGCCCTCCCTGCCAAGGATGAAGGCCATCCAGGTTGCCTCAGGACAAGCTGTACCTCACACCTATGGACACAGATAGTGGTGCCAGTCCTCAGCCCTGTTACATAATCCCAGTTCATCTCCAGAGGGCCAAAAAGAACAAGGCCATACAAAATTATTTTCTTTCAGTAGGTCCTTCACTACCAAGAAGCAGCTGTGTGTGGAGAGACCACTCTGTTGTCACCTGATGTCTGTAATGATGTAGGTATGGTCTGCTCTGAACCCAGTGGCTGCACAGGAACACCCACCCCACTTGGCTTTAATCTTGTTTTCATTTTTGTGCTTTCCAAGGTTAACTTCAAAGCTGGGAGCTCAAACCCAAGCTCTTCAACTGAGACTACACTGCATGCGAATTCCAGTCCCTTTCTCACATTGGCTTTAGCCTTGATGTGAAGAAACTATTCGTGTAGATCACAGAGAAAAATCAAGAACTGTATCACCAAGGCCACGCCTTGTGTTTGTGCAGCAACTGCCTGGCACTTACTGCGCAGTCCAGACAACACAACATGTCCCAATAACATGTCCCTGGTTCGTGCACACACACACGTCCCAATAACATGTCTCTGGTCCGTGCACACACACAGCCTCCTCTAGGAAAAGCCAGTCTCGTGCAGGGACACAAACACCCTAATTTTCCCTGCTCTCTTTGACCTTTCCCTTACAACATTCTGCTGTGTAGAAGTTTGCAACCCTTTATGTGCATCAGGCATCGCTTACTCAGGGACTACTCCACAATGGCATTACTTAGAGACCAGAGGAGGAATCACGGTCCCATCATGCCAGGGCACCCCCACAAAAAGGGACACTCATTGATGTCCATCAAATGTGCTGGCCGACAGAATGAATGCAAGTGGATTATCCTTGTTCTGCAGAAAGTAGAGCTGGACTGAGAAGCAGGGCAATGGCATCTGTCCTGCATGAAGCTGGGTGATTGTCTGCATCTCACTGCAACTCCTCAAGCACCAGCTCCCCAGAAGTGACATGGGACTGGCTCACCACTCCCTTCCCTCACCAGAACAGCTAAAGAAAGACAAGCTGCTCAGAGCAACTGAGCAAGGACTAGTTAACTCCTTAAGCCAGACTGAGCAACCTAAACTCAGTATCTACAGCTTTTTTATTTGAAACCCAAGTGGGAACAAGTGCTCCTCCAGTGGCTGCCTGATACAACCCACCGGGGGGCCTGGGCTAACTCTTAAAGCTCCGGGGCTGTGGCAGGAGTGGGGAAGTGCCTCGGTATGGAAATTTACCAGAGGCACAAACTCTAGAGCCACCTGCTCTATGGTGGCAGACACAAGCCACAAGAGGAACCATGCAAAGGAGCAAGAATGAGATTCTCCGTCTTGAGTTTCCATAAAGAACACTTTACACTGGGCAAAAGCAGCAAAAATGAAGCTGCAAGTCTCCTGTGGTAACGGTTTTATAGAGATACAAGTCAGGGGGTGGATACAAACAGGGAACCAATAGGGAATCCTCAGGGGAGGAGTGAGGGGAGTCCATCAAGTGCCTAGGGCCAGTTGGGGTAGGAGGGTGGAGAGGATGGGTCACGTGGGCCAATGGGGCTTCGAGGAGTAGGGGAATTCCAAAGGGGCGTTGCAGACAGGGATTGGCCCAAGGTGAGAGTGGCAGGGAAGGTTTGGAAACAAAAGGGGCTGGGCTGCCTTGACAGGCAGGGAAAGAGCTGGAATAAGGGGTGGGGAATGGTGTGAGGGACAGCTTTGAGGGAGGGTAAAACCCAGGGGTTAACCAGCTCAAGGAGAATATGGGCATCCAACAGAACAAACTTAACAAGGAATTAATAAAATAAATTTGAACCAAACAGCTTCCTGTCTCTGCAAATTACATAACCCCAAATAAAGGATATGTCTGAAACCACCTGCTCCAACAAGGCTTCCCACACACGCACAAAGGAATGTACAGTTACACATCCATAATGCAATACAACTAGGAATATTCTGCTAAATCTAAGTCCTGACCAAAGTTTATGTATTAAATATACTGAAATACATGTAACAGTGTGGATTTTTTTTCATGAGTCTCTACAGTTGTTGCTGCTGGCACCTGTGGTGACAAAGCTGGCCAGTCCCTGTGGGACTCACCTTTCCCTCATCATTCAAAAAGGGGAGTTTATCCTCAGGGAAGGCAGGAGCTGCCACGACACTGGTGGCAGAAGGTGTGGAGCACAGCATAATCACTGAGGCTTTCATGAGCTTTGTAATTTCCTCAGCCTTCCTGCCTCCATCAGGGTAGAAATCAATGTTTCTGTTCTACTAACACATTATTCAGAAATGCTTTCAAAAAATCAAGTACTTTGTATTTAATGATTTCTGACTGTTAAGGATAAAGGATTAAAAACTACTATGGAATACTGGAAAATAGATGCTCTTGTCCCAACACCGATGCATGCAGGGAAGCACTCCTGGGCATCTTCTCCCTCAATGGTCTTAGGATGACTTCTGAAGACAAATCATTTGAAAACTCCCACTACATCCATGTGAGCCTCAGCTCCTTCAGCACAGCCCTAACTGCCAAATTCTTCACTGACCAGGCATTGGCCATCTCACCGACAACAGCCAGATGGAATATACACCACTGTCATTACTCCCAGGACAGCCAATTTGAGCCATGGTTTTATTCCTTACACAAAATTAGGCTCTAACACAGCTCATCTGAGGCAAGGCAGCCTCAGTGTCTGCTGGAAATACCTATGGCAGACAGGGAACTGAGTGTTTAGAGGATAATTACTCCCCTTTCTCAATTCACAGCTCCTCCAAATGACTGTATTTGTTTGAGGATTAGGTCTCCCATGTGTCAGACCCGGAGAAGGTCTGGGAGTTCATCCAAGGTCCAGGCCTTTGTTTGGTTTGTGCATTGTGCCAAGGGTCAATACTCTTGAGGGGCTTTCTCTGCAGCCTAAATCATAGCAAATTACTAGAATTTTACACAGGAACGAGTAGGAGTTGATTTCTACCCATATTTGTTTGGACTAGTGACGATAACAGCCTGGGGATTTTCCA